ATAGCGCGAGTTTTGGATCAATCTGGTGCTCACAAGTTTATATATTAATCGTCTCTGGGAGCATCCATGCCGTTATTACCTTAAGAACCTCAATGTAATCTATGAATATTTTATTTCACTCTTTCATAATTAGTGAGTGTTTATCTTTTCAATTATGTTTTAATAATTAAGTATTTTGAGTATCCATATCAAATATTTCAAATTTAAGTCTTAACGTAAGTGTCATGTTAATTTGAAAAGGAGAGGGATATTCCTTTATTGTATAACCTATTATCACATTAACAAAAAAAATTAATTCTTAACTATATCATTATATTTTTTATATCATTAAGAGTTTGTCCTATGTTTACAAATTTGTTCCAATGTGTTTAAGGTTTGAATATGATATATATAATTTAGAGATCCTTTTTTAAGGTTCAAGTATGAAATATATAACTTAGAGTATGTTTAGGTTCAAATGCCAATTTAGACACAGTTTGACCGATCAAATATATTTTTGTAGTCTAAATAATTCTTACATATATTAATCACATTCATAAATATCTTAGAATGCATATAGCTTAGATTAGGTACTATATATTTTGCCTTTAAAGGGTGTTTTGAATAGTTAAAAATTTGGGATTTCAAGTTAGAGATTTGAAGTTCGAACCATAAAATGGGTGATAAGGCATAAGGGAAAAGGAGGGTTATCCAATTGGTTTAGCTTGTGGATTAAAAATAAAGAAGGTCACTCTACTTATTGTCAATTGTTTTTAAGTTGAATATAAGTTTTGTGTTGAAGTTCAAATATACAATTTTCACATGGTATTACAGAGCCCAGGTTTTGTCTTAGGAAGCCTGTTGTTAGCTCTGATAGGACCTGAAATTGATACGAAGCTTGCATGTAAGGGGTGTATTAAGCCATGTTACATGACTCGACATTTATAGCAAGCCTGCATATAAGTATTAAGCATGTTGAGTGGGAAAATCCCGCGTTGAGTGGGAAAATCCCGCGTTGAGTATACGAGGAATAAGCTTGTGAGTTAAATACAAGGAGAACTATTTCACTTATTGTCAATTAGTTTTAGATTTGATACAAACTTCGTATTAAACCCACATACACAATTTTTCACATGGTGGCTTCCAAGTGAAAGTTGAGCAAGGTTTCATTTCTTTTTTTTTTTTTCCCACACTTCTATTTTCCCATC